TAATGGAATAAAGCAATAACCCTTCATGATGCTGGAGATTTGGAATTTCGTGCGATATTCTCCACAAATATATATACAATTTGTGTATGTGTGAATGTATGTGTTTATATAGATGTTTCGATAATCAATCACGGGCGTGGGACGTAACAATGAGCCATTGTTAAGAATCCATTAAAACCTTATAAGTGTATTTTTAATTAGAGCTAATGGATATACACTGCGAGAAAAATGCAATAAATTTTATAAGGAAATTATAATTTCTCAATATTTTATGTTAACATTTCTAAGATATGAATACTGCATATTTTGGTATTCATACATCAATTTAACTAAAAATATATATGAAAATCATATATTTTTATAAAAATTAACTTCTATACATTTGATACTAAAATGGATCAAATTGATACTAGAGCGGATCAAATTAATACTAAACTGGATCAAATTGATACTAAAACAGATCAAATTGATACTAAAGTGGATCAAAAGGATGCCAAAAATTTTGAAATTTTGAAAAAATTTGGATCAAATAAAAAATTGACCCAAATTTTTGGCATCAATTTGATATTGTTAGAAAAACAGTGAGATATATATGTGTTATATACATTTAATTTTTAATAATATTATATATATTCAAAATTAATGGAACTATATATAATGATGTAACGATTTGAGATCATATTTAGTGCGAGACAATGTTGAAATGAATTTTTTTTGTGTGTTTCTATTCAGCAAAAAGCTCATTGAACCTGCCAGCGTTTCACATATCGAGCTGACAAGTTGAAAGACATCAATAGATAATGCCAGTCATAGTTGTGTTCACTCAGACGTGAGTTGACTGCCATCAAGAGTATATTTATAAATATACAAGTAGATACCAATTACGCCACTGTAAATATCAATAGTTCAGTAAAAAAAAAATGTTGCCAACTACACTAAGACTCCTCAATATATACTCTCTCTCAATTTACTCAATACATTATTTAATAATTACCACACACTATACGAGAGTTTATTAAAAAAAAAAAAATTTCTTCATTTTCAATAAAAACAAATTTTTTCTATAAATCTTTTCTGAATTCTTATTCATAAATCTTTTTAACATATATACAACTTTTAATGTATTTCCCTTTGGAATTGAATGCATATATTACTTTCGTGATCATCGTTTAACATAATTTTTTAATAAGACATACTGATTTTCACATTTTAAAGTTGGAAAAAAAGGATTAAAAGTGAAAAATTTTACTAATTATAAATTAGTGGACTTACAATAAGTAAACCTACTCAAGTGTCAGTGACCCATTTGGCCGATTTGACCGATTTAGAAAAATAAAAGTAGCTTATTTTTTGTTATTGGCAAAGAAGACGATTTAAGGGTTGAAACTACTCTTTTTGTTGCTAAAAAAAACCCCTAAAATCACAACAAAAGGTTAAAGTAGCTCTTTCAACTTAATATAATTTTTAAACATTTGATACAAAAAGCTTTATGGAGGCGCTGATTACGAATAGGTTAGATTTGTGAAATTCAAAATGACGGATTCAATATGGCGGTCGTATTTTTAAAATTTACTTAAAATCGCTTGAAACTTATGTTATTCGAGGGTTTTTGAGGTCTGATTATGAATTTGAGGTCAGATTTATAGTTATAACAAATAATAATTGTTATTTATATATTGTTGATTATAATTGTTCCAACTAATAATAATTCAATTGTATAATAACAAATTGTAGCTTTTAATTGTAATTCACAAAATTGTAATAACAAATAATTAATGAACAAATAACATCAAAATTGTAACAATAACAAATGACAGAATTCTAATAATAAATAGTAATAAATTGTAATTGAGAATCAACAAAATTCTAATATATAATAACAAATTATAATTAACAAATAATAATAATAAAAATTGTAATATTAGTGAAAATATGTTAATGCTAAATATGTTAATGTTAAATATGTTAATATCAATTATATTAACATGTTAAGTTCTTAAGTGAATATTAAATATAAATTCAAATTAATTTATTTTTTATTATTACATAAATTTTATAATATTTTAAACGCTTCTGCTTTTATAAAATTATTTTTACTTTAATTTTGAAAATGACATTTTCCATAAATTTTGGTTTTTAAAATAACAATAATGTCGTATTTCTGCTATCGAATTGAGTTAAAAAATAGGTGAATCAAAGCAATTTTTAAAGTTCTACAAGTTATTTATAAGACTTCAAAAGTTACTTCTACATTTAAAAAAAAAAAATTTTTAAATAAGACTTTTTTACAATTTTTATTTTTAAAATACGACATTTTAAGTTACTTCTACATTTCTTAACAAAATTTTAAAAAAAGTTTTATTTAGAAAAATTTTATATTTTTAAAAGTTTAATATCTTCGGCTAATATATATATATATATATAGATGAAAAATGTTCAATGAGGATGACTAAAAAGATGCGCCTAAAAAAACTCTACAAAATTATGGAAAAACATTTATATAGGTGTCCTAACATTTTTTTAAATTATGGGCAAAAAACGTTTTTTTACAAAATTAAAAATCTAAAAAAATATAGTTAAACTTTATTAATCTATCTCAAAGTACTCTCATTTTATGTCCCTACAATTTAAAAAAAACTTCATTTATAAAGCTCTTCATGATCTCGAGATATTTATGAAAATGTGATGTTTACACACACACGGAATGACATTTTTTAAAAATGTGATTTTTGAATTCCTGGGGTCAAATAACATAAAGATGTGTCAAAAAATCGAATTTGAAAAATTTTGATGTTACAGAAACTTTCTCATGAGGAAGCAATTGTAATAAATAATAACAAATTATAATTAACAAATAACAACAAAAATTGTAATATTATACTGACAAATATGTTAATATCAAATATGTTAATATCAGATATGCTAATGTCAAAAAAGTTTATGTTAAATATGTAAATGTCGAAGATGTTAATGTTAAATATATATGTAAATGTAAAAAATGTTTATGTTAAATATGTAAATGTTAAAGATGTTAATGTTAAATATATGCAAATGTCAAATATGTTAACAAAAATTATATTAACATGAAAAATGTTAAGTTTGTAAGTTATTATTAAATATAAATACAAATTAAAATAAACTTTTTATCCTCTTATCTTCATTATACTCAATTCTTGTGAAACTAAATGTTTCTTTCTGTGTATTTTATTTATTATCACCAACATTATTAATATTGTTCCCTATTGTATAAATCTTATTATTCTAAATCTCTATTTAACCTAATTTTTTCTGAATTTTCTCCATTCGAATTATGTTAAATATAAATTATCGTGACAATTAGGTCGATTATAAAATTCAATTTAGGCAAAACGGTCGGGGTATTATAGGATTTGAAATTTAAAGATCATTTATATACGCGCCCTCCACTTGGGAGTATTTATTTTGACCCCCTATCAAGGAGGGTCGAAAGAGGTAACAGGGGTATTTATAATTTCCACCCCCACTCTCTCTTTCTCTCTCTCTTCGGGAGAGGGTAGAAATTACATAGGGGTTGCAAGATTATGTGTTTTTTTCTGCATGACGATCATAAAATTTTTCTCCAAACTTCATGATGATTTCCGAACATCCCATAGCAATAATAACTTATAATAAAAAAATAAATACTCTTCACTTATAAAGAAGGGGGGGGGGATTTATATAAATATAAAGGGGGCTTTATCTTCTTTTCATCCCTTAGCCAAAAAAATCGTTATAGTTTATTTATCCCCATCCACATATTCGATAGAGAGAGTAACGACATAAATTTCATTCTTTTCCTTGAAGACTAAAACAAAATCAATCGCATCCATCTTCAATCCTGATACATAAGGATTTTCATCTCCTTCAAGTATCCGAAGGAGAGCGCTATACATATTTACAAATCCCCGATGCCGATGGTAAGTATAAGTGCATCGTCTTGCATCCATCGAGGTTCAAGGAGTGCCCGTGTGCTCTGGGAGAGAGAGAAACCGGGGGCGTTCGTATGCACACACACACACCGACGAGAGAGAGAGAGAAGAGAGTACGTGGAATCATGAACGGGTGGTGTAAAGGGGAGAGGGAGAGGTGGGTGGAATGAGGGGGTAAAACGATCCGCAGTGAATTATGCGCTCAGACAGAGCATATAAAATCATAGAGACACGAGAGCGGCTTCGCTATATAATAATGCATAAGGAGGCGGAGTTATTGGGAGGAATAGGCCACGCCCTTTCTTTCAGATTCCCTCTGGGGTGGGGAGGGTGAACACCGACAACTCAGCTGGTGGGGGAAATAAGATAGAGAGAACTCTCAGTGAGAGAGAAGACTCGGGGTTGGAAATATAGCGCTGGTGGAAGAGAGAGAGAGGTGAAGAAAGAGCCTTTTTGGTGGGGGGAGAATGAGAGAGCCTGCTTTTTCAAACAAGGAAAGAACTTCGAGGAGAATTACGCTCCTCGTCTCTTTCGAACTCATTCAACGTGAGTCTCCTACGGCGAACGTCTCTGCCGGCCCGAAATAACAATTTTTTTTCGCATGCTCTTTGCAAATATTTTTTATTATTAATTATGATTTCGACGGTGATTTCCGGTGAGGGGGGGAGGAAAAGTAAATGTGGGGGAACGCTGAAGAAATAAAGGCGAGAGGAAAAAGAAGACGTAAAGGTGAAGAAAGAGCGAACGGTGAAGAAAGAGTAAAAGGTGAAGAAAAGGAAGAAAGAGAAAAAGGAGAAAAGAAGAAAGAGAGAAGGAAGAAAGGAGAAAAGGGAAGAGTGAAGAAAGAAGAAAAGAGGAAAGACGATAGGAAGGTGTAAGTGAAGAAAAGTGCTCGTGGAGGTTTTTTGAGTAAAAGTGTGCACAAGGGTGGACCTTGATGGTGTGTAGTCGCGGTGGTATATCGTTTTTTGGTGGGGGGCTAAAGTCGGGGGTGCTATAGTGGTGCAAGTGGTGGGGGTGGTCAAAGCGCGCGCACAAACTGTGTCTCTCTCTCTCTCACTCCCTACCCTTAAAATTCTCACTCTCGCGTACACTGGATATGTGCATGCAAGGGATAGATGAAAAAAGAGAAGGATAGAAGGAGAAAAGGAGGCGGTGAAGTGGTGGAGGGGGGCGTCGCGACGTCAGGCCCAGAGCTGGTCCGTCCGTCGTCCGGCCGACTCGAAACATCGGAACCGCGAAATTCGCGAGATCTAGACACGCGAATATAGAAAAGAGTTACATACATACGCGCGTCGTCGCGATAGACGCGCACACATGCGTCTCTATAAAGCGACACGGACAAAAGACAACAAATGTCCACGTACGCACACACATGCAACCACCACCCTCTTCGGACAGTGCCGTCGCGTATACAATCTTGGTTGCATCGCCCGATGATGATGATGATAGATCATCTGGAATTAAAATAAAAAAAATATTTGATTCTTCATTAAAGTTCCAAAAAGGGGTTCTTCTCTATGGATTACGGATTGAGTTGACCTGCATACTTGTCCTCCAAGCACGAGGACTAATTGAGTGCCAAACAAATTTTTTCCCATCATTCGATCTGAATTGATCATTCCTTTTGAGTATGGAAGAAAATTCGCGTAAAAGGTGCATTCTGGGAAGTTGGATATAAAAAGTGTGAATGGTGATAGGCAAGTGCTTTAGAAAAGTGAACTGATGACTAATTTGGGAAATTAAAGTTTCAAAAAAAAATAAGTGTGAGACTTGAGGGATTTATAGTGGATTAAGAGGTTCTTTAAAGGGACTTTCATTGGCGTTTTGTCAATTTTGATTTGATCGACTTTTTTTGTCGTACCGACGGCACGAATTGAGTGGACGCGCCGATCGGAGGAGTGTCTAATAATAATCAAGAGGCAAAGGGATGACACGGAGAAAGCAGGCTCGACCCAATCGTGCCCACCTCGAGGACGATTTTGTCCAGGGATCTCTGGAGATTTTTCCCCTGAGAACATTCGAAAACGATACCCGTAAGTCTCACACACGTTCGCTTATGTTTATTCTATGAAGGTGATGACTTGATAAAGTGGTTAGTAAAAAAAACAAGAGGGAGGGTCTTAATCTCAGGAGAGAAATTTTTCTCCAATAATTTACAGTTTGAAAAATTGTTAGGATTCCCCCTTTAAAGAATAAATTCATAATTCCCCTTTAAATAGAAAAATAGTAAAAATCTATTTCTGAAACTATCAAATATCTTTTCTCGAATATTTGTCCGAATTTTCTGCTTTTAAAATTGCGACAAAAGGCTGTAGAAGCAAAAAACGGAAATTTGGGACAATTCGAATTTCTCTTTTTCGGTTTTTTTTTTGACATAAAACAAAAAAACTGTTTCTACATCTAATATTTAAATTAGTGAATTACTTAAGGAGTTGTCTCTAGTTAAATAACTCAAAATATTCACTTAATTTTTGTCTATTTCACACGTTTATTCTGTAGTGTCGAGAAAAAAAAATATCAGAGTTGATTGTGTAAATAAAAAAATCGAAAAAATTGGGAAGAGTTCTTTTCTCTGAAAGCACTCACTTTTGACAAAGTAGCCAATAACCGATCGTTAACCATCAATTATCACAAGTGCGTGGAATTTGCCGCCGAAAAACGAGAAGTTGAATACGCGAGTACAAATCTTCATTTTTTACACCATTTTTAAATACCCCTACGTTTTTTTATTTAAAATCAGTTTTTTACTTTATATTTAAATTAAACTTTACTTTATTTCATAAAGAAAAATTACTTTTCAAAAATTGTTTTTAATACTAAATTACTTTACAAAATTGTTTCAAATCTCGAAATATACACGTTTTAACTGTTTCTGAATATAATTCTGAAGTTCCAAAAGTTCATGAACGAAATTTACTTATTTGTTCTTAAATTTTTATTTCAAATTTCGCGTCACTATAAAAGAAACTTTTTTTTAATTTCACGCAGTTTTCTTTAAAGTATCAAATTGTTACTAAAAGTCGATCATAAAGAAAATTTATATATTTCTGAAGTTAGTGACCGTTTATTAAATAAATATTTTTGAATAAAAGGCTTATCGGTCCTTTTAATTAATTTATTTATTAACAAAAGTGTCAATGTTTCGGGTACCGACCCATCTTCAGAAACTAAAAAACAAAAGAATTTTTAAATAAATAAAATTATTATTTTAATTTATTATTTTATTTTTATATAAATTATTAATAATTCAGAAATTTGGATCAGTTTTCGATTTCATCCATTTTTTTTATATCAATTCTTTTAGGAATTAAGATTCTCTTAAGGTTCTTTTAACTTAACAGTGATATTCTAAATGTAAAATTGAAGTTTTTATAATTTATTGCAATCAGTAATTTATGAAAATGTTGTCAATAAAAAATATTACATTCACTTGAAAGTTCAAAATTTATGGATCAACGTTCTGAAGACTGATTTTATAAAAAATAAAAATTTACGCGACATTATAAAATATATTATATTAAAATATTTTTCCCTATTCGGAAATGAAAATTCTGTTTTGAAGAAATTAAGGATCACCCGAAATTAATGCTAAAATTTACAAACCTAAAGATATTAGAACTTTAAAATGAATTTATTTATTTCTTTTTTCAAAATCGAAAATTTATCGTAATCGGAACATGTGTTAAAAAATAATTTATAAGATTTCACTGTTAACTCAAAAGTATCAAATTTCAACGAATTGGTACCAAAAATACGGATTAAATAATAAATTAATACTAATTTTTGGCATCAATTTGATCCACTTTAGTTTCAATTTGATACTTTCAAGAAAACTGTGTTGAAATTCAAAAATGTTTACTTTACATTTTTGATTTTTATTTTATTGGGTAAGTTTTGAAAATATTTTGAAAGAATTTCTAAATTTTGAAAGAAATATTGAAAAGATTGAAAATATTGAAATATTGAAAGAATATTTTGTTTATTTTGAAGGTAGAAAATTTTTTTCAAAAAGTCGCCACATAGAAAATTAAAAGATTATTTTTAGAAAATACAAAGTGATTTGATTGGATTAATTACAGTTGCAGTGTAAAGTTAACAACTATTTTTGTCCATTATTCTTAATTATATTGATTCTAGTTTCTAAGGCATCGAATAGTGAAAAAATATTCGTTCTAATTGCATAGTCTTTCGAAGTTTTAATCTCTACATTCGAACCGCATAGAAAGATTAGGAGTCATTTAAACAATAGTTTTCTAATTTTATGAGAAAAAAGTCAGTATTGAACCTCTAGTGTTTGAATCATGATTTATTATAAATTTTCATAAAAAGAAAATTGTCTAAAAATAAAAAGTGAATAGAATCTAAAATAAAATTTATAAACATAGTAAGTGTTAGTTTTATGTATTTTTGTATATTTTGTATATTTTTTTGTTTATATTTTACATAATATTTAAGAATATATTTTATATATTATATTTAAGAATATATTTTATATATTATATTTAAGAATATATTTTATATATTATATTTAAAAATATATTTTATATATTTTGTAGGTTTTTTTAAAAATATATTTTATTTATTTATTTGTAGAGAAGAAATAGTGAACTTTTTGACTTCGGGTAATTGAATGTATATTATTAAATTTAACACGCGACTACCACTTTATAAATATATCGACATTAACAGAAACAGCGAATTTCTCTATCTTTTTATCGAATCGCATATCGTCAGTTTCACGCGCGCCGCAAAAGAAAATCGTTTCTACTCCGGGAGTCGATAAAAGTCGGATTTCGTTGATAGTGGAATCGTAGTATGGCGCTGATGACAGTAACTCCTTTCACACTATTGCGAATCGTTCTCTCTATAGCGAATCTTCATTGCATTCATATTATGAACTTGACAAAATCTTCGCACAACGATCTTATCACCACTGACACTGGCAATCGAAATTTTCTAGTCGCCACTTATAATTCCATTAACTACTCATGTTAATCTTTTTAACATTCTAATCAAAAATGTTCAATTTCAAAGAATTTATATAAATAAATTCTTTTCTATATTTTATATATTTTATACATTTATATAAATTTTTTAACATCAACTTCTTTAGTTCTTCTTTTCTTTCTTTTCATTCACTGTAAACTTAAATAGTATCAATTTGATAATTTTAAAAAAATTGTGTTAACTTTCTTTATATATTGTATAAGATGTAAATTTGTTTGACAAGAATAAAATCAGTTTGTTTCTTTATAAATTTGTTTATTTATGAATCTTAATACATTTATTTTTATAAATCTTTTAACATTAACACTTTCTTTAAAATATTTATTGTACTTTCCATATTTTCGAAATTCGAAGTTCGGAATTCGAATCTACCATTAAAGAAGAAAAATAAGATTCCATTATCGTTTAATTTATTTAAATGAGGCGAATTAGTTTAAAAAGTATATAAATTTAGACACTATGGAGGATTGGAGTGTCTTAGGTCTGACGGATGCGTGATAGGCGATGAGTTTCGCTGAATTAATTGCATGGCATGCGATTGAGTCGTTCCTTCAAAGGAATTCATGTCGCGCTTCGACAACACAGTGCGATAACCTCGCGGAAAAAGAAATAGATTCCTCTTTTGTGCCCGAATATAAATAATTCTCCAATTTGCAATTTTTAATTTTTAATATTGAGTCTAGCCAGATCTTAATATTCATAAAACATAGATTCTAGAAAAGCTACATATTCGTATTATAATTATAGATTATGAAGATTTTTATTTTTTCATAAGATTTCATAAATTTTCCTAATTTTTATACTTTTTATAATTATCATAATACTTATAATATTTATAATTTTTATAATTTTTATAAAATTTTCCAAAAAGATGAAATTATATGAAAAAAAATAAATTTTCAACAGTGGGAAATTTTATTTTAAATTTAAAAGTTATGATGATAGGAGTAATTATAAAAACCGTATTCATACCAAAATATTTGTATAATATGTGTTCAATTCGAAAAAATGCGGATATTAATAGTATAAAACGAAAAAAACCAAAAAGTTTGTGTCTTTTTGCGAAAAGGAAAAATGACAGGAATAATTATACTACTTTAACCGGTCTTTCATGATTCGTAAAGGATTCGTATTATCAATGAATTAATTAACACAACTTCTCTCATTCAATATATATACTTATTCCAATAACTTATATTCTGCGACAAACAAATTCCTCTTTAAAATAATAAATTTCCTACACTCTCTAAATCTGAATATGTGAAAATTCACATATTTGTACGTTATAAGTCGTCTTCTCGATCAATAAGTGCATATACACTGGTAATAAGTGAAATTTCACTCAGAATAAGTGAAAAATTCACTTATTTATAAGTGTATATGCACTTATTGATCGAGAGGACGACTTATAACGTACAATAAGTGAAATTTCACATATTCAGATTTAGAGAGCACTGGAAAATTTTATTCTAAATTTTTTAAAAATATCTCTTGACTTATGACTTAAGAATATTTCCGTCGAGTTTCCATGGAAATTCTGCAAGTTTTTTATTTGGAAAATATTTTAACATTTCCAGAATTGTCATAGGTCAGAAAAATCAGGGAAAAGTCAGGGATTTTTATTAAAGTAGGTACTGAAAAAAAATTGAATTTAGAAGAAGTTACAATAAATATGAATGCAGAAATTCAATTTACTTTCAAAAGTAATAAAATTCTTCGCAGAAATTCAATTATTTTTGAAAATTTAAATAAAATTCTTGGCATAATTTCAATTATTTTTAAGAATTTTCCTCAATTCAATCATATTCAATATTTACTATTTTATAGTAAAATTTTTCAAAAGATTTTAATTATTTAAAAAAAATGTAATAAAATTCTACGCAAACCTTTAATTATTTTCGCATAAAATAATAAAAATTTCATAGCAATTCAATTATTTACAAATTTTTTATAAATTTCTTCGGAATTATTCAATTATTTTCATAAATCATAAAATGTATACAGGGATTCTATTATTTTCGTATAG